TATCGGCCCACGGTAGACGACACGACCAGGGTCATCTATAGAAACGCAAACTTGTTTGACCCCCTGTACAACGCGATCGTCAACTACGCGGTAAATCGCAAATTGACTAATATCAACCTCGAGACGTCGGCGATCTTGCCGATTGCGACCGGCGTCGACATGTCGCCAGAGAACAAGCGAAGGTACTACAACTTCCTATTGTCCACGAACCTAAAGACCATCTTTGGCATATTTGCAAACTCGAAACAGAGCGGAGTAATGTTGGGTGGATCTCTGCCCACCCTACAATACCTTTGGGTGTACGGTGGCATGTCGGACTACTACTCGCCCCTGGTGTTCGAGCACGGAATCGTGAGAGCCGATTTTAACGATTTTACGTCCTTCTCGACTGCGATGACTAATCTGTACAGCGGCAAATTCGTATGGCAAATGATTTACGTGGTCCTGGCCCACACCATGATCGAGACGATACAAGACCACCTCACACACGCTACGGTTCGCAACTACATATCGACTACCAAACTCCAACACCAAGTGACTGCTCTAAAGCGATTCTTCGCGATTGCCAACTTTAGAGACGTGCGCATGCTCTACGTCTTCATCATGCAGAGCGTCAACCCCAACAACACCGCGTTCAACCCCGTCATGAACAACCCCAACTGCGGCGACGCCGAGTACGACCGCTGCGTCGTCGAGATCAGCCAGAGCGTAAAGCCTACTCTAATCGACTTTGACGACACCGAACTAATCCACAACATCTTTCTCATCAAGGAAGCGATTTAATCAGTGACACTGTAGTAGACGGTGTTTGGCAAAGTCGTCTTCTCCCTCGGCGGCGGAGGCTTCTTCGATCAGGTCTATCTTGCGCTTACGGCCGGGGACCTTGGCGTCTACTACCTCCGTCAGGGTAGCGTACGAGACCGGATCCCTGTCGTCCTCGTCGAGCAGAATTCTGGAGACCTCGTCGAGATTGTCGCCGTCCACGGCGACCATTCGCGCAGAGCTCAAGACGTTCGATTCCAGTAATAAAGTCGTTACCAAAGCTTTTATCTTTGTCTTTTTATCTGCGTCCGCCACCCCGTGAGCGTAGTCGACGCACGCGTATGCAAAGTCGTAGAGTTTCTCGCTCTCGGTGGCGCGCAATTTCCAGTCCACGTACGTCGGTTGCTTGGAGAACAAGGACAGGTTGTTGTACTCGGCGTTGCTCTTTAGATAGAGCTTGGGTGGGCTGTGGACCGTGCTCGAGAGCTTGAGAGAGATTTCGGCCACGAATATCTTTTTGACGTGAAGAAGAACGTCGGAGAGGATCTTGACCACGTCGTTGATGCAGTATCGCTGACAGACGCCTCGCATGTATGCCAACAGAGAACCCCCGTCTCCCACGGGGTCTTGGTACTCGAGAGAGGGGAGGGGCACTTTCACGTCAAAGAAGCCGGCCACATAGACGTACAGTGCCACGGCCGCGACGATGTCGTCCACGCTTTCGGACGCCAACCGCCTGCTCCCGTACGCGTCCTTGATGCTCGGGTACGATTTAGCCAGGTGGAATACGTTCTTCGAGTTTTCCGAAATCACGCTTACGTCGCTCATCAACCGTCGTCTAACGTTCAGGTCGTCTGGAGACCGCTTGATGGCCCTGTACAGGCTCCTGACACTTTTCGTGGGCGAGGCGAATTCCTTGTTCAAGACGTATCGGTAGAGAAGGTAAATCAGGAGACGCGGCGTGCAGGCCGGGAACACGACGGTGTACTTGCGGCCTTCTTCCGGCGCGTTCTCCATCCTCCCTATTCTATCGCACGCTTCGTTTAACGTCCTCAAGATCCATCCCGATCCGTCCGTAACCTCGTACTCGGCTTTGAGGGTAGTTCGGGGATCGGTCGGAAAAATGTAGTTGGAGTCGTCGACCGAACATAGAGATGCGGCGGCCACTTCTCGCAGACGAGCGTTTTGTAAGTGGCTGGTGTAGAAATGTTCCACGTAGGGTATGGCGACGTCCCGCAGCCATCGAGTGGTCACGGACGCGTAGACGTGTAGTGGAGTGCCGTGTGGGCAGAGTATAGCCGCGTATATAATCGCTTCTTCTTTGCTAAAATCGTCTTGCAACTTCCACACTTCTTTGATCAAGGTTATGTCCTGCTCAGATTTACCTCCTTTCAGCTGCCCGTCAGGTTGCAACACGTCCCATATGCTCTCCGGGCGCGTAGAGACGATACTTTCTGGATCTCGCTGCCATCCTGGCGGGCGCGGTTGTTTGGGAACGGGTAGCGAGTGTGTAAAAGGGACGTATTTTTCGTAGAGAAAAAAGCCTCGCTTCCCCAATATTCGATACCTATAAAAGCCACTCCCGTCCTGCGAGAGTAAAATGTTGTAAGGATCGGTGCCGTTCAACAGAGACTTGTAAGAACGTCTGGTGAGTCTCAGGGCGTCGATGCTGTACCATAGATCCGATACGAAAGGTCTATTCAGATTGCGCCTAACGTCGTCGAGTTTTGTAACGGGTAGAAATGCCACGTCGGGTAAAGTGGCGTACCGCGCTTGCGGTCTGATCTCGGTGTCGTCGCCTACGAGGGCGTTCCACACTTTAAGAGTCGGCGTCTGGATCTGCGCATCCCCTTCTTCGTCGTCCAAACAAGATCTGTATTTGTCGATCTGAGTAACGAATTTATCGTGGTCGAAGAAGGTGTATAGGTGGAAATACTTTAGGAGAGCCACGCTGTACGCAGACACGAAATTTTGCACGCCCTCGAGACTTTCTCCCGCGTTAAACATGTTTGTATCTTTACCGTTGATCATCGGGACTACAGTCCTTTTCAGGTTGACGGCGATCGCATTCACTAGAGGCGTTAAACATTCTTCACAGGCCAAGACGTAGTCCTTCTTAAACTCTCCTAGAGGAACCTCGTTCGACCTTAAAGGTTCCATAGATTTGTCCTTGATGGCCGTCAGAACGATCTGTATGACGGCGTCTTTAATGGCCGAATCGACTCCCAAATCTTCGTGTTTCCTATTGTACATTGTAACATACTCGTGCGTGGGATCCATCTTATCGATACACCGAAGTAGAATCTCGCACATTCCTGGTGCCCAAGCGTCCTCTTCGCTGCATAGCTTGGTCAAATAATTCACGTTTTCGTGTAACTGCAGTCTCTGTAAAGGATCGTCTTTAGTACTTGAGTACAAGTTTAAAAAGGACGTTAACTGAGTCGGTAGGGGATCTACGGTAGGCTCTTCTAGATAATTTGCGCCGGCCTTATTACCTTTCTTTGGAGATGCGTTACACGCGTAGTACAAAGTTAATAGCCTTTTTATCAAGGTAATTTGACCGAACACGCACTGCGTCTCTTTAAGGTGCTGATCGCCTTTAGCGTTAAATATATGTTCCGCATGTGCAGGATACGTCGTATACGTCGGCTTGTCGCATAGAGGTTGTACGACATAGCCGACAGACCATTCGTCCTTCGTTATTAAATCCATTAACGCTACATTGGAATTGGTGGCTTGACCGTTGGGCTTTTTGAGAAAAAACGAGGTCCCGTGTTGCCAGCTCACAGGATACACCGATCCGCTTTTAAAAACTTCTAAAGCAGCTATCATGACTTCTTTAAAATCGTTATCTTGTGCAATGTAAGGGCATACCGCATCTACGACAGTGTTACCGACTTGTCCATGCGCCTGTATAGATTTCACGGCCAAATAACATTCGGAGTTAAAAATTATAGCCCTCTTGATTCTTTTATCCATAGACGCCAACGTAGCGTCGTACGTTTCGTCTTCGTTAATATCTCCGAAAAGCATCTTGCAGACATAGAGCATAACGGGTCTACACTTTTCTAAAGCTTTGAGGACGGGCAAGTGTTTCTTGGTCACCATGGCCTTATACAACCAAATCAGAGCGCAATACCGGACGGAAATCGTCGCATTGAGCGGATACATTTCTTTCACGCCAACGAGTAGACAGTTGATGGCGTCGTCGTGAAACGTTGGTAACTGGTGCTTGTTCACCAAGGTGTCGGGAATCGTTCTGTGCGAAAACACGGACAATGCCGAACTGGTCTGTATGACTTCGTCGTTGGGATCGATCGCTTGCGTATAGTGTATACCCACGGAAGCCGCTCCGAATCCGCAAAACGTTTCGATTTTCGTTTGAAGCTCTTTCAGAGTGGCGAGAACTAAGTTAAACTCGACGTGGCTTCGCACCCCCACGATGGGGTCCAGCCTGTCGCAAATGTCGGTCCAGAGCGCGTAGTCGCTCCTGTAAGGATGCATGAAGAGTGCGTCGTATATGCGCACGTGTTCTTCGTTTGTTAAAACATTCTTAAACGACATCAATCTTTGCACCGTTGGGAATAGATACGTCGGCGCTAGTGAGCGCGCACCTTGCGAATATAACACCTCGACGCTCTTGGAGAGTGCGGTGTACACGGCGGGCGTGACTACTTCGCGACCCATCCTATAACTATTATACGCGTATATGTCAAAGTCTATAGAAAGACAGTGTCCATTGTTTTGATTCGGAATCAAAACGATTTGCAACGTGGGGGCCTTATCGTAAACATCGTCCTTTGGTGTTTTTTGAAAAAGAGCTTTATGTGTAACATCCGGAGTAATCTGAACTTCAACCGTGCCAGCCTTGTACGTTTCTCTACATTTCAAAGCGGAGATTTGCGCACCAGCTTGGTCATTAACGCGTATCCAAGGATTGTATTTCCAAACGACGTCGAAACCGGCGGGCACTAGCGCGGCGTTCCCATAGTTAGCAGCCAACTGACCGTGAGTCGTGTTCTTTAAACACTTGACTAGAGTATTAATGTTTAGAGCGGTAAAAAATCCCGTGGTAGTTTGCAATATCTCACCCCACGCCGACTCCTTCAAATGTTCGTACAATTGACTCACTCCAAAGGTCCCGCCACCACGCCAGTACGCGATAAACAGATCTATAGGAATTCTGATATTCGTATTCTGATTGGGTTGATACATATTTTTATTAGTGAACGAAGACGTCACCAGTCCAACATGTCCCGCAGCTCCCGCATGCAGAGGGCCACCGAACACGGTTTTCCGCGACACTCGTTGCACTCCGCGTGAGACACTTTGCCGTAGCGCCGATCGAATAATCGCGCGCACTCTTTCCGCAAGAAAAAATATTTACAGTCCTGGTTCGTGCACGAGATTTCCCCCGCCGACTTTTTGCCCGTGCACCGCTTACATATATCTAAAAAGTTCAAGACCTTCTCGGCATGTGCACCGATCCCGTCGTGGACGGACTCGTCGCAGTCGCCGTCATTAGCGCCGCAGTCGCATCCTTGGTCAACGGAAGACGAGCTCTTTCTCTTTCTGCATTTCGTACAGCGAGGCTGGCGGACTACAAACCTGGCCAACGGCGCACTCGTTTCGAGCGCAGGACGATTACGAATGCCGTCGCTTGCGCCAAAGACGATCCGCGCTGCCTCCGCTTCGTGGCACGCGAGGACGACGCTAAATATCCGGAGTAGCGGCGGCTTCAGCATCTTGACGTAGTCCTCGTAGTCAATGTCCTCGTCGACCGAGTTTAAGAGATGGGCCGGGTCTTCGGCGCGATACGCCGCCTTTACCAGCTTGCCGGTAAGGTAATCTGTCCCCCGTAGCCTCTCCACCTCGTAGGGTTTGAACGCCTTCATCACAAACTGAACGCGCTCTCCTCCCCGCGGTTCCGAACCTGGATTGCGACTCGCCATCTTCCTGGCCACCTCGACGTGAGGCATCGTAGATTTGTATTCCTTTTTACTCAAGGCTCTGGTCATCAACAACTTGTCTATGGTCACCTTCTGGTTTTTCAGGTCGCACAGGGCTTTGCTCGCGTATGCCACGGCACCCTTCACGTCGTTCTTCTCCACCAGGATCGAAATGGTCTCGGAGACGACTTCCGACACGTAGGGACAGGTATCTCTCCGCACGTTCTCCAGGCCCTTACAGTCGACCTTGGGAGGAGTGTTGGCGTCGACAAACATCCTACCGGCGTAGCGCTTTTTCGTAAATAGAATGTATGGGCAATAAATCTTTTCAAACTCCAACTCTATCGGACGCCGGTGATGTCCGTTGATCCACTCGCAAATTTTCTCGCCCCACACGAGAGCAGTCTCGATGCTGGTTCCGTCTGGCGTCTTGATCATCACGGAATCGGTGTCGCCGTATATTACGGAAAGGTTGCGCGGCGGAGGGACCTCGACGTACTCCTCGGCAAACTCGCCGTCGTCGACGCGCTCCTGATACTCGCCGACGTACGCCTTGGTCCTCCTGATGAGTCTCCTGCCAAAGGCCGTGACGCTGCGCGACACTTGCACGCAAGATAGCACTCCCTTCTCGAGCGCACCGGTGAAGCCGTACATCGGGTTGGCGGTGCACTTTATGGCCAGTTGCTGGTTGTTGAGCAGCATCTTGACGAAAGGGTCAGTCTCCTTCTTCATCTCCGCGCGGACCTCGCGTCTAGCGTTTAGGAGTCGAACAATCACCTTCGGGATGACGCCCAGTCTCACGCTCGGGTCGACGAAGCGATCGCCGGACGGGGTTAGGATCTCGCCGTTGGCAAACTCCACCTCCTCTTTGTGCGAGGCGGATGCTCGCGCGATAGCGGCGGGTACGGACGTCTTGCGAGATTTGGATACAAACTTATCCAAAGTGGTCTGCCCCCTCTGCAATCGCTTGACATTATGCTTCTTCTTGAGCTCAGGCTTGATGCCACGAGAGAAAACCGCCCCTGTCGTGGCCTGCCTCCGAGGCTCTTCGTCCGACACTTTGTCACACACCAGCCTCGCGTTCCGGTGATAGACCATCTCGCCGACGTTTTCTCCGACGTTGGTCTTGAGCGTCGTGAAGCAGAGATTGTACGCAATGATTATCGAGGGGTAAAGAGACGCAAAGTCCAAGGTCAGCACCGGGCTCTGGTAAAAGCCCCTGTACGGCTCCACGACGGTGGCCCCCTGGAAACTGTCCATACCGACGGGCGGCACAAAGGGGGGAAAGATCATGTTGCGCGCCTTCGCCTCGTGCAAAATCAGAGAAAAGGCCCTGATCTGCTGCCCCTTTCCGTGCACGTAGCGCATCGGTATCATGTTGACCTTGGCAAACTGGAGCGTCGAGGCGAGCGTCGTGAGCTTGGTCATCAGTTTGAGGGGCAGCATGCAGTCCTGGACGCAGTAACTCGCAATTTTTTTCCTATCGTCGGGTCCGCCGTGAAAGAGCCGAAGCATGTCCTTGTACTTTACGTTTTCCTTGGTCTCACCGCCGAGAAAGTGCGAAGAGACTGCGTCCAGCGTCTCCCGCCGCAAGCGAAACTGCCCCTCCTGAATAATCTTGTACATGTCGATGACGACCCGCGACGGCGTGGTCAAGACTATCTCCGTGTTCCACGACTTGGCCTGGTTGTCGCGCACGCACTTGCGCCATTCCGGACTGGCCAGGTTGTCCGGCGTCGGCGGCTTGAAATACTCGATGCGACCACTGGCGTACTTGTGGTAGTGGGTGTAGGGGGACCTGGAAACGTTGGGAATAGCCATTTTGCCAAATTACCCAAGCGCCAAAAATCATGCCGCGAGAGTAGTCTTACGCGATGGAGGTGCTTGCGCCTGCAGCAGTAAGTGTTCGAAAGCAATTGCCTAAACCAAATGGCATCTTGCACGCGTGTTTGTAAACGCTTTAATTTGGTTGCTTGCTTCTAATCATTTATGCAAGGAAGGCGAGAGTGTGTTACGCGCGTGCCTACTTTCCCTTGGGTGCCTTCCTGTGCGCTTTGCTTAGGGTGTAGACATCTGGCCATTTTGTCCCACACTTTTATTTTACTTTTTTGTTCAGAAGCGCGTAAAAGAGCGTGTCCCTGGACGCATTGTGGCGCTGACTGTGCTATGGCTTGTAACGTTGGCTATGGCGACATTTTGTTGTTGGCGATTTCTTTGTATTTTACCCGTGAGCGCGTGCTGTCGGCATCGGGTACTACAAAGGGTGGCATCACCTTATACAGAAGGACATTGAGGCACCCTAAAGTTTCCAGCCTTCTCCATGATGCTTAGAAAATTCAGATTGCAGATCGTTCGTTTTACATTTTTTTTTTATTTCTGTCCTACTCTTTTGTTCTAGTTTTTTTTTTTGCCATTGTTATCTCTCCTTTTACTATACAAATAGTGCGGAGAGGTTGGGTTCCTTCAGTGTTAATAAGCCTCTCCTCAAAGCACCCGGACCGAAGGCTCGCACTATGGATCCAGGGATCCAGTATCCAATAGACCCTTTCCGAAATAAAGCCGGGCCACATGGCTAAATATTTTCATCATAATGTATATAATCTGTACCTGCTAATATCGGACTTTGATGGCGTATGAAGTAAGAATATGAAGATGGGCACCGATGCTGAGCATGAGCATTCAAGACTTTAGTTAGCTAGTGGTTTGATGTCACCCTGGAAAGCCTTTTAAGCTTCTGTGCGCTACGCTTTTGAGGGTGTCATGTGAACGATTAGAACGCTAAGCCTCGGCACGCCCCAGAAAGCCCATGACGATAAAATGTAAATAACTATATCATGAGTTTTAATGAAATAAGCACCTCGAACAGAGTGGTATTTTCATGACTACGTCGAAACTGAATGAAATAAAGAAATAACTGTACTACGAAGAACAACGCAAATTTCGCACGTCTACCGTTCACTACTAGATATTAGATTTTAACCTCCAGTAGCATACAGAAATTAAGACGCATATTTTAAACACAAGAGGAATTTGTGAATGTGTCTATTCCCGGCTATGCCATTTTTGCACATCAAGCCGCATGGCACTTGCGCGTGGTCGTGTATAATTACTGTGTGGTGCATTTTGTTGTTGTTTTTAATGCATTTCAATATTTTTGTGGTGCATGCAGCCGTTTTCTTTTTGTTTTGTAAGAACGGTCGTTGTTTGTTTTGAACTGCAATGGGTTACTGAATTGTACTGGTAAAGAAAGCCAAAAAAACGCAGGCGAGCTGGTAAATGACATCCATAAACGAGCTGAGACGCAGAAACAATAAAAAAAAAAAAAAAACGGACAGAACAACAAAGTTTTTAGAGACAATCTTGTTCTGTCCGCATTTTTATTGTTCCTAAGTCTGAAGGTTACAATATATGAAATGTTATGGACTGGTCTTGAAAGTCACATCCTCGGTTCGCGCCGCGCTCTCATGCTCCGTTTGTTCACTTCTCACCTTCTCTTGCCTCAAGGAAATTTCAACCAAATTTTTCTGGAATCAAAGAAGAGACAGCAGCAATTTTTTGCATGACTTATTTCCATCAACCGAATTTATCATCAACGGAATGTAACAAAAAAGCCAATCTAAAAAAAAAAAAAGAAATTAACTCACAATGCATTGAAATATTGCAATTATTTCAATGGAGAAGCTTACAGAAAATATATTAGCAGATCATGGCTATCCAGCTCGAAGTATATCCCACGGTGGTCCGTTTTGCTGTCTGATTTCGTTTCATCTAGAAGCGAAGGAGTGTGCGATGTAGCACCGGCTCGTGGACAGAAACTTCGCACGAGGCGTCGTTGCCCTGCATCGTTTCCCTTTTTCTGTGAAAACAAAACGACACAAGACCGACAAACATAGGCGGTGCCAGAGAGAGAGAGAAGAAAGGCCTTAATGATCATGGCGAGGATTGCCCAGGTAGCACAGCGCGATAGAACGACCGCGACAATCAGTCAGCGCCGCGCACTGGCCACCACTGCGCTGTTTCTGCTCCCGAGCGGCTAATGAGCGAGTGAGGCAATTATGGTCCGCATTAGGAGAACACGGCCGAAAGGGCAGTTGGACAGCTTGGCTGTCCGATCGCGTAGAGGCGGACGCGGCCGGGCTGTCGCTTATTGTCCCTCCTCGCCAGTTCCTTTCCGCTCGTTCTACCAAAACTTGGGTTGATGTACGGGATTGACATCCTCGGGCCGCGTGTCCCGCACAATTTTAGCGTGTTGTGACAGGGGAACGAAGTTTGGTGGTGCGTCTCTGGAACATTCACTTTCTGGACGTCTGCTTGCGTAATGTTCATCAGCCTTTACCTGCGAAACAGTTAGCGCTGGAAGAAGCTTGATTTGCTTGTAAGCTGGGAAAGGCGTGGAGTTGGCGCAGTCAGTGCATGATCAGCGCAGTGTTTTTCTGTTTCCTACTTGTGTTGTTTTGGTTATTATTATTATTTTTTAATCTATTTATATAGTGAAAAACCGGAAGCTGCATTAACAACACACTATGAGCAGTGTTTTTTTCTATTGTTTACTACCAATCGCAAACTTTTGAAGAGGATAGCTATAGGTTCGACATCTAAGGAAAGGTGCATGGAAGTGACGTAATGAAAAGGAGGAACGTATATTAGCAACACTCACGTGGCGGCTCTGCCCACTTTGACGCCGCTACGTCATCGCAAACTTGACACCTGTCACCGGTTTGAGCGAAGTCCGGAGCCAACCCCCGACGAGCGGAAGAAGCTACGCATTCCCCGAGGCGTCCCTATGCGCGGGATTTGGGGTAGGAACTACTACGACGCGGGGAGCAGTTTCTGCGTTTAGTGAAGGAACGGCTACCAATCCTGTGCGTAGCTGGCCGTCGCCTCTGTTCTAGTATAGGTAAAAGGATTAAAAAACAATAAAACCTGTCTGTCGCTGTTAAAACAAACCGCTTTTTTCTGTCCTTTGGCAACAAATTTAAGAGTTAGTTGGAGAGAAAGTTGTTTCGATATTACAAGGAATGGTGGGATGAGCGCTTCGCGCTTTCTTTAAGGCAATATGTCGGAGCAAGCCAGAATCGCAGGTTTGATGGCTGCACATAAAGAGCTCCCGTTACCAGCGATTCGTGGTCCCGGCGCGTAATGAAGGCGTGGAAGCTAGCAGACGACCTGGACAAAGACGCCTTCTTGCTCTGTTGAACCCAAGAAACATTCGGTTGATATGACTTACCCTGAGACAGGGAAGAAATAGAGCAATATTTTTTGTGCTCTGCTCCAAACTCGGCGTATTGTATGAAGAAAGCTACAAAACGCAGGTGAGCTGGACTCCAAGCCGGAGTCGTCGTCGCCTGCACGTTTAAAATACGGAATCTATTATCGCTTTTTTTTTTTTAGAATTGACGGCAAGAAAGCAGCGAAAAGCGCTGATTGCAACTTCGTGTTTTCGTGGTACTACGCTTCTTCGGATATTATTTACAAAGACGTGCCAGAGGTATAGGCACAGGGCCTGCACAGTTGTTACTGTTTGGTACAGCACATTTTCTGTAGTACTGTGGATTTTAAGTGGTACACAGCCACCGTATACAAGAGAAATGAATCGAGCACAGTCACCGAGGAGGAGTGTGTCGTCGTCGTCCACCAGCCACCCTTGCTTGATCTTGCTGCAGAGCCAAGAGAAGCATTACACAAAGCAGTCGTGCACCGACCCAGGGCACCGTGGCTCCATTCATCTTACCCGGCATTCGGCCTCACTCATCTGGAAGTGTGAGAGAGATACCGACATGCATTTACGTGAATGTTCAATTCATGGTTCACAAACCACTGCAGTCTCGATTCCAGAGCCTTCCAAGTTCTTTTGACACCATGAACATGATTGCAACACACCTTCATGGACGTAAGATAAGATGACAAGGAACCACTTCCTTCAAACAAAAATAATGTGGCGGGCGGAAGGATGCACGTTTTAACAGTCGCGACATACTACGTAGAACACACGCTCGTGCAGTTTAGGGCGGTGTACTAGAAGTACACCACCCTACACTTTTTGCAATGGTGTAGAACGTGCATGTAAATTGAAATAAGCTATTGAAAAGCTGTGTAGAAAGGAATTAACCGCTAACTTTTACGCAAGGCGGCGGGAATCTAATATTTTTGAAGGCTTTCGAGCAGGCAGAAAGGACGTTATCTGCTCACGTGAAAACGTTTCATGGTGCAGGTTATTGTGCCGCTGTGCGTCGTCGCGTCTTACATCGGTCTACTGGATCCTACACCAGAGCAGCGGCTGCTGCATGCGACGTAAACCTACTATCAAACTTCCCATTCGACAATTTCAACTTCTGCGGAATTCTTCAAGGTTCCACTTATCCCACCCACCAGCCAACCGAGTGGGCTGCTCGAGCCAGCATATAAGCGTGCGCGTGTCACAGAATCTCTGGGTTTCGGAGCTGGCGGGAACGAGGCCATGTGATCACGTAACTTTTTCCTGGCGCAGATTGTTGCGCCGTTGTGCCTCGTCACCGCTGGCATCAGTCTACTAGATTCTACGTCTGCGAAGCGGCAGCTGCATGCGACGTAAATCTAATATCAATCTTCTATTCCGAGGATTCCAAGTTGTGCGGAATGCTTATGGTGCTCTTCGCGCCACGGTGGACCTCGTGTCCTTGCAACTGCAAGACAACTGGTTGGATCAAAAAGTACGTTGACTAAGCGCCAGCGCAAACATATATCATGGACCGTAAACCGAGTTTATGTGAGTCACGGCATACTTTCTCTTTCACCAGCCCTGTATAATAAAAGTGCTTAAATGCGTCTTGAAGTTGTTGCTT